ATAGCAAACAGAACAGATGCGATACAAGAAAGAGGGGGAGAGGAAGCGCGAAAAAGATAACAGATAATATTCTTGAAATAAAGAATTCAGAAACAGCAGTAATTGCAGAAGCAGAATAAAGCATACAATAAAGAATTGCAAGAAAGAAGGCAATCAACATGAATCAGCAATTACAAAAGCGCAGAAGCAGGCAACAGGAAGCACATAACCTAAGCTCTAGATACCAATTGTTGAACTTTCAGTGGAGAAATTTCTGGTTTCTTTTATTTCTTTAAACGAAAAAGAGGAGTAAAGAGAGAAAAACACACGTAGGATTTTTACTTGTTCAGAAACTTGTGTTACCAAGTTTCCTACGTCAAGGATCAATTAGGGAGACCACTCCCTGGCACTTGCACTAATTAAAACAAGAAAGAACAGGGTACACAATATTCAGTTACAGACTTAAAACCAAAGCCCCACATAAAACCCTAAAGCCCCAAATATTACACGGACCAAATAAAGAAATCAGCCACTGTCATGCTATTACAAACACAGCAGTATACCAAATCGCACATGCATATGCTCAGGTTACCAGGAATCCACAACACAAGAGAATCCTCCTCTCGCACCGCATGAAGCTCCTAGACGAACCAACCCTGAATCTGTCCTCTTCAAGAACACCACCAACCAGTCGATTGGAACCTGCAATCAAAGCCACAAGGACAAACAGAAGAGAACAAAACCAGAAAATAGCAAGGAGCAAGATCAAATTGGTCACAATGGGTTTTGATTGAGAAACCCTAGCAGAGCTTCACAAGGGAACCGAAGAAAAGAATATCGTGAAAGTGAGAGAGCAAGAAAACGATTCAGAACAACAAATGATACTGCACAAGTCTATTAACTATATGAAATAAAGAAACGCAGCGTTTCATTTTATGTATTAACATAAAATGACTTAAATGCCCTCTAACAAATATGCATAACAGAACATACTATAAGGCTACTTATGGGAATACTCAATGCATATATAACACTATCCTATTTTTTAATTATTATCTTAGTATTACTGAAAAACTCTGGAAAAATATTATTATCATTTGTTTGTAGATAAGTTTTAATTTGGTTTCTTCTATTATAAAAGTCTGATTTTTAATTTATTAATTAAAATATATTTTTATATATTACTTTTAGATATCTAACGTAATTGACGTTGCATTTAAAAGCGTAATTTACTCTCCTTTTTCTTATAGCATACGTAAATATTTTTGTCTTTATTTCTTCTAGCATACTCTTCTTAGAAATGCATTGATTCAGTGCCCCATGTTCAGCGAAAAATATTTAAGGGTCCTTGCACCAAGTTAGGTGGATGTGAGGGGTTAAGAAGCTAGCGTTAGGCCATTATTCACAAAGTGATGCACCACATTGGTGCCCAGATGTGGTGAAATGTGAGCTAGGCTCTTCACAATTTTATGTGCTAGTATGGGGGGTAAGAAATGCCTAGGGGTGGGGATCACTTGAGTAGTTGGAATATAGGAACTTTAATAGGAATTTTGAGGGAATTAGTACATACCTTTGTTAGAAGTAGGGGTGTGTAAAGAACCAAAAAAATTAAATTGAATTATGAACTGAACTGAACTGCTCTTAAAATAATTAATTTTTAAAAATCAGTTCATGAACCGAACTAATTTTTAAAGAATCAGTTCAAGAACCGAACTGATTTTTAGAAATCAGTTCAAGAACTGAACCGAATCATTTTCAAATTGAACTGAATCGATTTTCAACTGAACCGAATCATTTTCAATCTGAACCGAACCATTTAAACCAATTCAGTTCGATTCTTCAAAAATTCAGTTCAATTCAACCCATGCAGATCCTAGTTAGAAGGGGAGTAACTAAATGGGTAGAGGAGAAAATGGTGAGTGGAAGACATTTGTTTCAAGCTATGGTACGTATGCACACAAAAAGGTAAAAATCGAGCTAAGGTTATGATGGATTAAAGTTTCAAAGATAGGATGGTTATGCTAGTTGTGAGGGAATTGATCTTGACTATCCTTAGTATGCATGCCTCCTATGTTGGAATGCAAATACTGATAAGAACAAATTTTGGAAAGATCTAGAGGAAGTATTAAGGGGGATACCACACGAGGAAAATATATTCATAGAAATAGATCTTAATGGACATATTGGAGAAACTAATGAAGGTTTCAAGTAGAGTTTATGGAGGTTATTGCTCTGAGAGTATAAATTAGGTTGTCAAAATTATGATAGCTAAAATCGGGATTTAAAACGTAAAATTGGGATTTTAATGCTTCTTTTGTCAAAACAATTTCGCTTGCAAGTAAAATCGTTTTACATGTGAAATCGATAAAATCGTCTCCATTAAACGTAAAAGCGCAAAATCGTACATTTTTTTTCTTCAGATTGATCGATTTTAAAACCCCAATTTTTTTCGTCGGCTCTTTGACCTATTTGGAGTTTTTATCCCTTTTATTTTTCAATTTGATATTCGATTCACGATATTTACTAATGAGAGTCATTGAGTGATGCAAGGGGGACCCAACGACATTGACTTAGTCCGGAAAAGAGTCAAAATCCATAATAAGATGAATTTGATTTGATGTTGGTGAATTCCTTCTTTAAGAAAAAAGAGTCACATCTAATAGCGTTTCGTAGTGGTTGAAATCATAGCCAAGTTAATTTCTTTTTTGATAGAAGAGAAGATAAAGCCTCGTGTGTAGATTGCAAAAACTACAATGGAGAGTGTTTAGCTATACAACATAAGTTGGTGATTTTAAAGCTTTGATATGACAAAGTATAAAAAATGTAGAGAAGTGTTCAAATCCATAATAAGATTGTGGAAGTTAAATAAGAAAAAACAAATAAATATTAAGGAAAGAGTGCTTCAAGAACGACCATAATAACTAGTTGGAGAAGCAAATATTACGAGCAACAACATAATTAATTATATCCAAAGCCATATTATTCAAGCAAACAAAATGGTCCAATTTAATCAAATAAGATGTTAAGCAAACAAACCAGTCTGAAACTATTGAACTAGCATTAAACCAACACCAATTTTTTTTTTTTTTTTTTTTGGTGAACTAACACCAATTTTTTTAGTTCAACCTATCTTTGGAATTTTGTGTAAATCCTTTTAGTTCCACTTATTTGAATTTTTCTTTATTCCGATATAATGGTGGCACTGAAATTTAAATTTATAACTTCGTGCAAACTATCAACTCCCCACACCACTAAATCAATCCTAGTGACTTATTTGAACTTTAGTCTTTAAAAAAATTAATACCTTAATAATTGGAAATCAGAACTTTATAGTATATAAGAACCAATACCTTAATAAGTAGAAACTATAAAAACTAAAAATCAAATGAGTCGAGAAATATAAAGATAAATACCTTAACGGTTAGATCAAAATTCAAATGAATAACCCTTAAGGGTAGCTCACTTGATAAGTGAGTACCCAAAGGATTGCTTTGCTCAATGTTCAAACCTTAAATAAAATAATTTCTTGAAATTCTTTGTGGATCAGAGAGAAATTACCTTCTTCTCGAAAGAGGATTAGTCTCACTCTTTCTCTAGTGATAGTGGTCCAATGCATCCTTTGCTTCACTGAGGAGCTAAGCTAGCCTTAGAGTCCTACTTCGAGGGCTGGGTGAGAGAAGGTTGAGTGAGGATATCTCCTAGTTACAAACCAGAAAATTATTAAAAAAAAAAATTCAAATGAAAAAAATAAAAACTGATACTTAGAAAAATTAATAACTACAGAAATCAAATTTAAATAAAAAATTAGAGAATAATTATTTATTTGAACGAAATATATTTCTTGTATCAGGTAAATTGCACCATTTCACGTAATACATTCAACATGAATGGATCAAAATAAGCTAGCTAACAAAATTATAATATATTTTTTTTTTAAATTTCATTTTAATTATAAAGTTCAAAATTAATATTTAAATAGATATTTCAAATTTAAAATCCCAAATGTCGAAATTCCAAACTGATTAAGAGAATCTTTCGGATTTAAACTTTTTTCTTATTTTCTAAAGAAATGTTTTTCTCTCGGATAATTGATTTCAAACTCCTCAAAGTAAAAACTCTTATTGGCTGATGGCAAAAGTCACAGTGATTTGAACTGGGTCTTCTTTTTGAAAAATAAATTCCTTTTTTTAATTTTCTTTTGCTATTAAAAACTAAAGAACAGACAGATTCTTCAAAAGAGTATATTTAAAATTGAAAATATAACTCATACTAATAATCCTGTCATAAATCTGAATATATAAATAGAATTTATTATTTTTCTTACGACTTTAATTATCAAAGTATATAATTTGTTTTACTCCAATCCAAATCTATGTGGTTTTGGATTGCTGTAAATAGGAGAGAATCATTATTCTAAGTGTCGTTTGGTACGCGGGGGGTTTTGGGAATTTTTGAGAAACTGAATTTTTTTAAATTTTAAATTTTTAGATATTATAAAAAGGGGAATGATATTATAACAACCAAATTATGTTACTACCAATCAATCTCACCGTTAGATCTATTATGTTGATCCAACGGTTATATTTATTTCCATCTTTATATGGTCATGATTTCCCATATTTAAAGTGAAAGCATAAAATATAGAAAATCATAACCATATAAATGTGAAAATAAATATAAAGTATTAAATTTAGGAAATCATGACCATACAAAAGTGAAAATAAATATAACATAATCGATCTAACGGTAAGAAATAAATTCAGTGGTCCCTTTCTCTCTCTCCCTTCTCCTCACTCCTCTCTCTTCTCTCTCACGGTGCATTGGGTCGGGAGCGTGCAATATTTGCTCCTAACGGTGAGATTGATTGGTAGTAATATAGTAGTAACACGACTTGATTGTTACAATATTTTTCCCCTTATAAAAAAGCTGAATGTAAAAATCATATTTTAAAAATTGAGATTCTGAATAAAAAAAATTTATCGTCTTCCAAACACCCGTGAACAGCAGCTGAACAAGAAACATATTTTCATTTCTTTAGTTGTTAGGGTATTGGGTATCCTTTCACCCTCACTACTCTCGTTTTTGGAGCATTTGAACTGAATTCTCTCATCTTCTCCCACAAAACGCATCGTTGCTGCATCCTTATTATCATGTTGTTCAATTCTCAGTTCTACAGAGCCCTTGTCCATCTCAAGGCCCCTAAATTTTACCCTCTTTTGTCATTGCCGTTTTCTCTGAAACTGGGATTCTGTACAAGCACTTCAGAATCAGAGTCAGAAACAGAATCACACTCTTTTACGGTTTCCTACCTCATCAACAATATTGGGTTACCCCCAGAAACTGCTGTAAAAGCTTCCAAACGACTTCGTTTCAAGTCCTCAGAGAAACCCGATTCAGTTCTCACCTTCTTCAGAGACCGTGGTTTTTCAGACTCGAACATACGTGACATTGTCAGAAGGGAACCGTGGCTGATTTCGACGGATCCCCACAAAACGATTTTGCCAAAGTTTGAATTTTTTCTCTCCAAAGGTGCTTCTGCCTCTGACATTGCTCGCTTGTTGACAGCGAACCCTAGAATCCTACAAAAAAGCTTGGAGAAACGTATAATCCCTGTCTATGAATTGGTAAATAGATTCTTGCAATCTGACAAGAACACCATTGCTTGCATAATTCGTAACTCGATTTCCTTCTCTTATACTCTGTCCATAGATAATCTCAAATTGTTGATTGATTGTGGAGTTTGTGATTTAAGCATTGCCAGATTGCTTGTCACGCGGCCATCTTTACTTGGCTCAAATGACTTGCTAAAGACTGTGGAGGAAGTAAAGGGTTTGGGATTTGACCCTTCAAAATCAACTTTTGCTGTGGCTATGACAGCAAAGAAAGCTGTTAGTAAAGCCAGGTGGGATGATAAAGTTGATATCTTGAAGAAGTGGGGGTGGTCTGATGAAACTGTTCTTCAAGCATTTAGGAGGCAGCCTAACTTGATGTTGGTATCCTGTGATAAGATTAATTTAGTCATGAGTTTTTGTGTCAATCAGTTGGGTTGGGATGCTTTGGCCCTTGTCAAAAAGCCAGGGTTTTTTGGATATAGTTTGGAGAAAAGGATGGTTCCAAGGGCTTTGGTTCTCCAGAATTTACTCGCTAAAGGCTTGAGAAAAAAGAATGCCAGCTTGTTTACCCCATTTACTATTCCTGAAAAGTTGTTTCTTGAAAAGTATGTGAAATGTTTTAAGGAGGAAAAATATCAACTCTTAAAGTTATACCAGGGAAAAAAAAGAGTATTCAAGAAAACCGGGACGATGGTGCAGTGTAGCATCTAGCCTTTATCAGATGGTTAACTTATGAGTACAAATTTCGTGTAATTCAACCTTGTTATGCTTCTTGATCCCATTCAAATACTTGTGTTAATCCTGTCTAAATTGCAACTGATTTAACTGAATTGTTTCATTTTGCTGGGTTGGAACTCTTGTTGCACTCTTCAGATGTCTAGCTGGGAAATATAGTGTGACAGATTCTGGATACAGCATTGTAGTCTAGGTAGAACTATTTAGTTTGTAGTTTGTTTGGTCGCATGAGATGGATAAGTGAAGCTAAGAGGATATTAACTAAGGATCGGTAGCTTACTTTCTACTTCAGTTTTGCAGTTCCTTCACCAGGTTTGATCAAGAAAAAACTTAGCTGGTTTACTGTGTTTATTCCTCTGAAAAAAGGTGCTTCGAGAAAAGCTTTTGACCTATGAGGGAGAAGCTTCTAAGGATTCAAGTTATGTGAAGATAGTTATGTTCTTCTTTGCAGCATAGTGATCATGTCAATAAGATAGGGCAAATGTGAGATCAGTTCTTTCATTGGAGAAAGATGAGGTAAGCAAGTGAATGTTTAAATGTTGGATTATGATACAATCAATAGAAGCCATAGGAATTTTTATTTTAACATTTTGTGGTTCTGTCCCCCCCCCCCCCAAAACAAACTAGTTTGGGATAAAGGTATGATTGATGTTGATGTTGTTTGTGGTTGTGTTCCTCTTTCGCTCCATCCCCGCAGGGGCAGAGAACCCATCGCTTTCTGGGGGGGCCCGAGCCATCAGTGAGATACCACTCTGGAAGAGCTAGAATTCTAACCTTGTGCCAGGACCTACGGGTCAAGGGACAGTCTCAGGTTTCCAAAAGCTTCTTGTACTTTTCAGGGGGGGTTATATAGAGGATAAAAACAAAAAAATTGGAATTGTTGGTTTATTCCCCCCCCCCCCCTCTCTTTTTTTTCTTGGACTTTATTGTTTTAATTGAGTTATAATATCAGCGTTCAGATGTGAGTAATTGTTAAATGAGTTATATTAAGTTAAAAAATTGTTGTCAACATGGGTTTATTTCTAACTTGCTTTTCTGAATTTAACAATTTATCTAAATATTGATTGAAAGTGGTAATGCATTGCATTGTTTTGGTTATAATAAAGGTACAGGCTAAGGTTGAGCCTTGGTGCCATACCTCATGATTTGGTGGTGAACGGATCAAGTCACAGAAACAACCTCTTCGCTCGTGGGGACAAGGTTTCATACATTTGACTCTCCAAAACCCCACAATGCATCACACCCATCTTAAGCATCGAGACCGATGCAACTTGAGCTTGTAGCTCATTGACAATTTAGTGCATTGTATTAACATAACTATGCCATTATTTTTGCATGCACTGCTTAATCTGCTGTTTCAATTTTGGAACTAATTTCACTTGTCAACTTTTGGTAAACCTGTTAAATGTGTATAGTTCGTGAACACCTCCAAATTTGCGTGGAAGCTCACATGAGCTTGCAACATAGGTGCAAAATCTCTGGGTACCCATCAATCGATGTTTGAAGAAGTTTCATGCAGATAATTTTCATTAGATTGTTAAGCTAGGCCTGTATGCTTGGGATGCCATAAGGGGAAGAAGCCTAAGGAACTTTTGGGCTTGTCATCAAGAGCTCCTTTGTATGGCATAACAATGGAGTGATTTACTAGCTGTAACGAGAACGTTTGTATAGTGAGGATACTATCTTCTGTGGATTGGATATGATATATATAAGATATTATCTTCTGAAGATATCGGTAGAATTAGATAAGATTACCAATTTTTTTATTTTTTAAAATAGAATAGTTTGTAACGACCTTTGTATTCCCACGTCTATATAGACGTATTGACTGATTAATAAATTTACACAAGTTTTCTCCAAATTTTATCATATGGTATCACAGCAATATCCAAGAGAATTTGTGCCACCACTTCCTGACTATCTTTTTACAGACTAACTACTTCCAATTAAATATGCCTAGAAAAGAAAAGAAAAGATTAAATATAACTGATTACAATTTAATCAGTATTAAACACATCTAAAATAAGAAAACAGTTCAAATTAAATTGACCTAATAATTGAAAGATTAGGAAAAAGAAGCAACATCACTTCTAAATTTCAGCCTTCCCATATAAACCAGTTCTAGTTGCATCACTCGGTCATTAATTTTTGTGTTAAATTATGACATAATTTAGTGATTGCTGTCCTTGGTTGAGCCTTCCCCATCATCTGCTGTGTGTTGCTTGCAGGAAAAATACCTCATGAACTCCTATTTCATGTTCAACCTTGTTACAATCATTTCATGGTGTTTGGCTGCTTATGTTAGGTATTCACTAGTCTTAAATCCAGCAATAAATTTGTTGTCAGATATCGCAAATGTGTGTTTCTTGGGTATCCTTACAAGAAGAAGAAAGGATGATGTCTCAACTGGGTTGAATCTAATACATTTTTTAGTTTCAAGGGTGTTCAATTTCATTAAAATATATTCCCTTGCATTGAACCTGGATCTCTTCATGGTCAAACTCCTCGATTGCGACTGCCAAGCTTTGTTATGCTCTTCAGGCATTTGCTTTTCTTCAACCTTGTGCAAATTATACACTCTTCACTCTTCAACATAATGATGTATTTCTTGCTTTGCTTGTGTATGTCAATGATATAATGCTTGCAGGCAATAATTCCACTGCTTGCTAGAAAGTATTTCCTTGCAGAGAAGTATACAAGTCATTGATGGACCTTCACTTGATAAATTTTTGGGTTGAATTAGTTCTTTACATAGTATGTTTTAGTGATCACAAAGTCACAAGTTCGATCCTTACCGCTTTCGTTTTTTCTTATAAATTTTAATGGTAGGTGGACCTGTATATTATCCACTCTTCCAGTGGATTCTCGTACAAGAGGATGTGTTAGAAAAATATATAAACCATTGATGGACTTTCATTTAATAGCTTAAATTTTTGGATTAAATTAATTTTTTACACTTCATAATCAAAATTTTAAGATACTCAGATCTCAAGTGTTTCCTTGGAATCAAGATTGTTCTTGTGCCAACGCAAGTATGCTTCAGACATCTTATCCGAATCAGGAGTACTTGGTTGTAAGCTTGTAGGTTTTTCGGTAGATCAGAATCGTAAACTTGCTTTTCTTGATGGTTTGATTATTGTGATCCAGGACGCTATAGTCATCTCATTGGAAGTTTTGTTTACCTTACTATTACTTGTCTCTATCTTAAAAAATTATAATAAAAAAGATTATTATAATCCTGAAGTAAATTATAATTATAAAAATATCTTAATTTTTGTCATAAAATGACGTTATTTTGAGCTCAATGCAAATAATTTGTCTACATTGATTGTAGAAAAAATGAATACACACACATATATATATATAAAGATCTTTTAATATTGATGTCAAATTAAAAAATTTAACATCAAATCTTAACTATTAGTTTTTATTAATTTAATAATTATAATACATTAAAAATTAATAATTAATTAATAAATATTATTCAATAAATTATAACCATTATTCACAAAATTAATTGTTAAGATTTGATTTGAAATTTTTTAATTTGATAATAGATATGACATAATATGTACGGAAGGAGATAAGAAAATACATTTCATGAGGAGGAAGTATTTGATTGAAAATTGAGTCATCCGTGTGCCCAAAAATTTAATTCAAATGATTTTTTCTGTGCTTAAACTAATCCAATCCAAATTGCTTAACACTATATTTCCATTTCATCTCCAGTGGTTAGGTTATATACAAGTACAACACTTTCAACTCAAAGCACGATTATTTCCTTCCTCCACCATTACTCATGTTCGAAAAAGTTGATGTAAATTATCTTTTCTTCTCCGACAAAACTTTCGTATCTATATCCTTAATACCATGTTCGATTCCCTGCGCTGTAGAGCCCTTGTCCATCTCAAGACCCCAAAATTTTACCCTCTTTTGCCATTGTCGTTTTCTCTGAAACTGAAATTCTCCACTAGCACTTCAGAATCAGAATCAGAATCACACTCTTTCGTGGTGTCCTACCTCATCAACAATGTTGGGTTCCCCCCAGAAACTGCTCTAAAAGCTTCCAAACAACTTCGTTTCAAGACCTCAGAGAAGCCCGATTCAGTTCTCACCTTCTTCAGAGACCGCGGTTTTTCACACTCAAACATATGCCACATCGTCAGAAAGGAACCGTGGCTGCTTTCGTGGGACCCCCACAAAACGATTTTGCCAAAGTTTGTTTTTTTTCTCTCCAAAGGTGCTTCTGCCTCTGACATTGCTCGCTTATTGACAGCGAACCCTAGAATCCTACAAAGAAGCTTGCAGAAACATATTATCCCTCTGTATGAAATGGTTAATAGATTCTTACAATCTGATAAGAACACCATTACTTGCATAATTCGTAACTCAATTTCATTCTCTTATACTCTGACCATACAAAATGTCAAATTGTTGATTGATTATGGTGTTTGTGATTTAAGCATTGCCAGATTACTTATTACGCGGCCATCTTTATTTGGCTCTAATAACTTGCTGAAGACTGTGGAGGAAGTAAAGGGTTTGGGATTTGACCCTTCAAAATCAACTTTTGCTGTGGCATTGTTAGCCATGAAAACTGTTAGTAAAGCCAGGTGGGATGAGAAAGTTGATATCTTGAAGAAGTGGGGGTGGTCTGATGAAATTGTTCTTCAAGCATTTAGGAAGCAACCTAATTTGATGTTGGTATCCGGTGATAAGATTAATTTAGTGATGAGTTTTTGGGTCAATCAGTTGGGTTGGGATGCTTTGGACCTTGCCAGAGGACCTGATATTTTTGGGTATAGTTTTGAGAAAAGGATGGTTCCAAGGGCCTCAGTTCTGCAATTTCTTTTGAGAAAAGGCTTACGAAGTAAGAGTGCAAGCTTACTCATTCCATTTACTATGCCTGAGAAGTCGTTCTTGAGCAAGTTTGTTCACTGTTTTAAGGAGGATGCTTCTTATCTATTGAAGCTGTATGAGGAAAAACTGAATCTTGAATACTCCAGGGAGAAAACTGGCATGCCATTCAGCAAATACTTTTTCTGTCTAGACTAGGATTGGAGCTAGTTTATCTGACTTGTTTCATTTGTTATCATCAATTTTGGTCACAGTTGTCATGCATCGGTCATACGAATACTACAATACTTTACCTGATGTAAATGCTTTATGTCTAGTACATGTAAAGTTCAAATGGTCTTTTGTATGGGCATGGAATACTTTTCTAATTGTGTTACTTTGCCTTGCTAGTTTATTTAATCCAAGAATTCATTGTTTATATAAACTTTCTATGCTGGTTACAATTTCTTGATTAAGGCTTTAAGCTTTAGATTGTCAAGTACTTCTGCTAACTACTTTTCCTTTGGTTCTTTACACATTGTCAATTTACTTTGTTATGATTTAAAGGAGTTTCTATTACTGGTATGCAAGAGATTATACAATTGTGGTCTCTTTGACCCTCCCGGTATTACTTTTGGACTTTGCAATGGGGGCCAGCCCACAGCTTGGAGGGTGTATCATCATAGGAACAAACCTAACAAGGATGACCAGATCACCCAGGGGCTGATTTTTGGTTGGGTAACAGGTGTATAGGCACTTAGGAAGTTAGGAGTTTCTGTTAGGCAGTTAGGAGATTTTAGACTTATGAAAGAAGCTAGACCTTGTATATATTGGCTAGCATAGTCCTAGTAGAGGGCATCTGAGTATCTTGTAACAGAATTGGGAAATTGGCCAATGAAAGGGAGAGCTCTCTTGTAAGAGGATTCCTCTTGTAGATTTCTTTCATATTTGATTGAACAACACCATTCTTTTACTTCTGTTTCTTGTATTTACCTCTATTATTTCCATTGAACCTAGCCCCAAATCTGTGTTACTGCTGTTCAAGAATTCAGGATCGCAACACCATGGCTCACTGTTTTCTTAGATTTTCAATTTTGGAGAATATCTTATCTACCCGTCGGGGGTGGTCTGAAGAAACAATTTTGGAAGCATTTAGGAGGCAGCCCAACTGTATGTTAGTATCCAATGATAAAATCAATAGGTTGAGGTGATTTTGGGTCAATCAGTCAGGTTGGAGTTCTTCTTACTTGGTCAACGGTTCGCGGATTTTTCGATATAGTTTGGAGAACAGGGTTATTTCAAGGGCTTCGGTTGTCCAGTATCTTCTATTCAAAGGTTTGAGAAGCGAGAGTGCCAGCTTACTCACACCGTATTTTTGGTCTGAGAAGTTGCTCCTGCAAAGGTTTGTTGAATGTTTTGGAGAGGAGGAAACTTCACAGCTACTAAAGCTATATAAGGAGGAAACGTTCATAAAATATTTGAATTATGATGAGTTTTTGAAATGTTTTAAGAAGGAATCTTTTCAATAAAATTTGTATGAGGATGAATCTAGCATACAGTAGACCAAGGAGGACACTGGCATGTAGTGTTCATAAAAATATTTCGTTATTTAATCCATATTTGGTGTAATTTAACATTATCAGATTGTTTCTTTATTTCTTCAAAATTCTTTGTCATGCACTGTCTATACTTGGCTCAACCAACCTGCTGAAGACGTTGGAGAAAGTAAAGGGTTTCAGATTTGATCCTTCAAAATCAACTTTTGCTGTGGCAGTGATAGCAAAGACAGCTGTCAGCAAAGCTCGGTGGGATGAGAAAGTTGATATCTTTAAGAAGTGGTGGTGGTCTGATGAAATCGTTCTTCAAGGATTTAGGAGGCAGCCTAACTTGATGTTGGTTCCTGTGATAAGTTTAATTTAGTGATGAGTTTTTGGGTCAATCAGTTGGATTGGGATGCTTTGGCCGTTGTCAAAGGACCAGATATTTTTGGGTATTGCTTCGGGAATAGGATGGTTCCAATTCAAGGGCCTCAGTTCAGATGTTTCTTTTGAGGAAAGGCTTACAAAATAAGAATCCAAGCTTAATTAGGCCACTCACTATGCCTGAGAAGTTGTTTTAAAGTAAGTTTGTTCACTGCTTTAAGGAGTCTTCTTATTCATTGAAGCTGTTTGAGGAAAAACTGAATCGTGCATACACCAGGAGAACACTGTGTTGCTATTCACCAAATATGTAACTTCTTAATTTTATTTTATTTTTTGTCTTCTCTTTTTTTATGTAATTTAACCTTAGTTTGTTCCCTCTTTGATTTAAAATACTTGTTCTGTCTAGGACAGGATTGGAGCTAGTTTAGCTGACCTGGTTCATTACTTCATTTGGTATCAATTTTGATCACAGTTGTGATGTATATCAGTAATAACAATACTTTACCTAATGTTAGTGCTTTATGTTTAGTACATGTAAAGGGAACTTCTCTACACGTTGTCATTTTAAGGGAACTTCTATTTTGCTATGATTTAAGGGAGTACTAAAATTATTTTCTGTAGTAGAAGACATATGAGTATTTTGTAAGAGATTTGGGAAATTGGCCAATGAAAGGGAGAGTTCCCTTGTTAGAGGATTCCTCTTGTACGTTTCACTCATCTTTGATTGAACAAACCATTCTTTTACCTCAGTTTCTTGCATTTCCCACTCTAATTCCCATTGAATCTAGCCCCATATCTGTGTAATGAGCAAATAATTTAAAGAACCATCATCTACTTGTAAGCAAAAACCCGGTGCGATGTGAAAGTTGATGCCTATAAGGTGGTAGTGACAATCAATGAATAAGATCTTAGTCTTGGATCCTAGAGGAACAAGTAAAAATTCACTCACGTGATTATATTCGAAGATTTCTTCCTGTAAAAAGGTTACTCCACTAACTAGCCCTTCAGTGTCGAGGGATTTCAAACATGTGTGTGCGTGTGTGAAATTTCATGTCCTTAATTTGCAATTTTAATTGCTTTCCCGAATATGAATGCATGACTATTGGTGAATTATCTAAGGATGATGTTGAATAGAATTATCTGGCTCTTTGACCCATGGGGTTTTTTACCCTTAATATTTCAATTTGGTATTGGGTCGATATATTTTACTATTGGGGGTTGTTTAGTTCCGTGGGCGAGCCCAATGGATTTGAGTTCCATCCACATCCTTTCGTGGAACTTTTTTATTTTTAACCAGTTCCACCCCTCCCTTGGCGGAACTTGTTTACCATTTGATCTCACGGGTTATGACAGTGTGATGGTTTTATTAACTATGATCAACCAGAAAGAAAGAAAGCATGGAAGAAAAAGGTCATTGTATATTCCATTAAAAAGAAAAAGGATACAGGAGTGTATATATAAGGAGAGTCACACACGAATGGTGCACATCAGCACTAAAAGGCATAACAGAAAAGTGAAAAATAGCACTACTAATAGAAAAAGATAACAGCACTACAAAAAGATACAATCAGTAATAAAACGGTTACAACCAAAATGACAATAAGTTAAAAAAATAAAGTATATACAAATAGTCCCCCTCAAGATGGAGAGTGAATGTTGAGAACTCTCATCTTGGATAACAGAGCTGAAAATTTTAATGGAAGCAGTGGTTTAGTAAACAGATCAGTGAGTTGTTTCGTAGAAGGAACTAGAAAAGTCTTCAAGTGGCCTTTGATGATGTGCTCACGAACAAGATGACAGTCAATTTCTATATGCTTTGTGCGTTCATGGAATACCAGATTTGCTGGTACATGTAAAGCAGACTGATTATCACAAAAAAGGTGATCAGGTCCTGAATGCAGAACATGAAGATCCTTAAGCAGAGAAAATAACCATAACAATTCACAAGTAACATTAGCCATGGACTGATACTCAGATTTAGTAGATGACCTGGAAACAGTGCTTTGCTTCTTTGATTTCCAAGAGATGATGGAATCTCCAATGAAAACACAAAGGATGACTTTCAAGGCAAGCAGCTCAATCAGAGTCATAAAAAGCATTAAGCTGGACAGTGGATGCTGAAGAAAAGAAAAGGCCTTGACCAATGGCGTCCTTCACATAACCAAGTAACCTATGAGCAGCTTGAAGATGAGGAAGACGAGGAGAGGCCATAAATTGGCTAAGATGATTAACAACATAATATATATCAGGTCTAGAAATCGTCAAATACATTAACCGCACAATTAATCGTCTAAATAGATAAGGATCAAGGAGATAACCATCAATAGAGGCAAGTTTGACATCAACATCCATGGGAGTGATACGAGGTTTGCAACCTGAATGACCAGAATCTTTGAGAATCTCTAGAGCATAATGACGTTGGCAAACAGAAATGCCTTTGGCAGAGCGAGCAACCTCAAGGCCAAGAAAGTATTTTAAGGAACCAAGATTCTTCAATCTGAATTTGTTATGGAGCACATCAGTGAGCAGCTGCACTTCAGTAGAATTATTAGAAACAACAATAATGTCATCAACATATACCAAAATAGTAATGAAACAAGTGTCCGAAAAACGAACAAAGAGAGAGTGGTCAGATTGGGACTGATGAAAACCAAGCTGTACAAAGGTGGATGAAAATTTAGCAAACCATTGACGTGAAGCATGTCGAAGACCTTATAAGGAATTATTGAGGCGGCAAACAACATCAGTTATGAAAGGCTGCAAGAGCTAGAAGGACCCTAACAGTGGTTAACTTCGCAACAGGGGAAAAATATCCATAAAATCAATCCCTTCTTGTTGGGGAAAACCCTTAGCAACTAAACGGGCCTTATACCTTTCAAGAGAAACATATGAGTTGTACTTAATTTTGTAGACCCACATGCAGCTGACAACATGCTTGCTTGAGTAAGAGAGACAACATATCAGGTTCTATTATGTTCAAGAGCTGATAATTCAGCTTGCATAGCACCCTGTCATCCCAGTAATTGAGAGAGGCTTCAGAGTAGGAATGAGGCACAAAGTGAAAAGAAACATAATTAATAAAAGCTAAATGGGAAGGGGAGAGTCTATGATAGGAAATAAAATCAGATCAAGGATGAAGGGTGGAGGAAGAACAAATATAATCATTAAGGTGAGTGGAAGGGTGACGAGCACGTTGAGGATGCAAGGGAACCTGAAGATCAGGGTGGGATATATTAGACGAATCAGTGGCTGGAACAACAAGAGAAGAGGAAGAAGGGAAGTTCAAAAATTCAGTAGAGAAAAAAGAAGAAGTATGGACCAGAGCAAAAGGGAAAATATGTTCAAAGAACACAACATCACGAGATGTGAAGGTGCAATTTAACTCCAAATCAAGGAGTTTGTAGCCCTTGTGGCTAGGTGGGTAACCAAGAAAACTGCAGGTAAAGCACGAGAGGAGAATTTATTTCGGATTTTTGGAAGGGTAGAGCTGTAACAGATACAACCAAAGACCCGAAGATGGTCATATGAGGGAGGTTTATGGCAGAGAAGTTCAAAGGGGGATTTGGAAGACAGAAGAGGAGATGGAGTCATGTTGATAAGGTAGACTGCTGTGAGAACACAGTCTTGCCAAAACTGTAAAGGAATGTGGGATTGGAAGTGCAATGCACGAGCCACATTGAGGAGATGTTATGCTTTCGCTCAACAACAGAGCTCTGTTGGGGACCGTTAACACATGAATGGAAGACTTGTATTCCCTTAGAAGAAGAAAAAGATGACAAACTAAATTCATGAGCATTATCAGAACAGAGAGATTTAATAAGAAGACTATACTCAGTATAAACAAGGTTGTAAAAAATAGAGAAAATAGAAGAAAAATCAGACTTGTTGCGAAGAAAATAAGTTCATGTGAACTTGGTAGCATCATCAGCTATAATAAGAAAATACCTAGAACCTTCAACAGAGGGAGTATTAAAAGGACCCCAAATATCACAATGCAAAAGATCAAAAGGGGATACAGATAATTTGGGAATTAAAATAAAAGGAAGACATTTTTGTTTAGTAAGAGGGCACACAGAACAATGATGTGAAGCATTCAAATTATTAAAAAAATCCCAAAATACATTTCATAGAGTTCAAAACAAAAATAGAAAGATGACCTAATCTAGAATGCCAGAGAACAGGATCTTTGACAGTTAAAGAAAAACACAGGGGTTGGGGAATATTATCTGTGGGAAAAAGGTTTGTAGTGTCAAGAATGCAGAGGTCCCTGTGTCTTCTAGCAATCCCAATCATCCTTGCCGAAGTACGATCATGAAGAAAACAATGAGAATCAGAAAAATTAGCAATGACAGGAGAATCTCGAGTTAAGGCACTAATCGAGAGAAGGTTGAAAAAGAAAGAGGGAACACTAAGAACATTGAAAAGCGTTAAGGAATCAGAAATGGAAACAAAAACAGTAGCATTAATGATGACAGACGACCCATTAGGGAAATAAACGGAGGAATCATACAAAAAAGAGGAGAATAAGAGACTAAGGGCTTGTTTGGTGTGACGTATAAAGCATGATAGTATAGGCTGATACTATACGTTATGACATTTTCGGTTGTTCGGTGTGACCATCGTATAGTATAAGCTTATACAGCATAATCCCTTAATACATCAAAATGATGTATAACTTAATCCGGCCTAAGGGTGAAGGATAAGACTTGATAAGAGATTGATGTATTAACATCGTTGACCAATGTAATTCTCAAAAATTAATATATTATTTTAATATTAATCTATTAAAATAAAAATTAATTTTTCAATATATTTATTTTTAAAATATTGAATATTTTTATTTTTATAAAAATTAATTTATATTTTGGACACACTGATCAATAAATTTTTATAAAAATTAATATCATATGACATTTTTTGAAGAATTATATAAATTTTTTATTAAAGGATATTTTTATTAAAAATGTTTATTTTTATCATATATAGTACAATACAGTGCACTACCAAAATACTAGATGATATTATCTTATACAATATATTATTTTATACAATACCGTGGGCTTTTTTTACCTTTATAACCTTTTATTAATAATTAATTACCAAATTGACCTTCATTATAAACTATTTCAAAAATTTAACCTCCCCAACAAACATAACACCAATCTGCCCCTGTTTGACCGTTGACCACCAAGTCTACCCGGGTACTCCCCTCCCTACCCGGGTATTTTTTGAAATTTTTGCCTACCCGGGTAGGGAGGGGTGTACCCGGGTAGAGTTCTTCAATCTGGAAAAATAGTTGAATTATTTACCCGGGTACATAGGGGTGTACCCGGGTAAATCTCCACCAGAAACCCCAAAACCCCTCCTAGATCTCTGCAGCAGCCAACAGACATACAATTTACAAAATCGGTTTCTCCTCCTTATCTTCATCTTATGTTAATTTTTTTATCCCATCTTCCCACGGTATTGTCACCTACCATTTGCTATGGTTTTTTCAAAT